CGGTTCGGGAGAAGGGGGAAGAGACATGGGGTCCCAAGAGGTGTTGGGGGCAGGGGGAAGGAGTGGGTGGAAGAGGACATTGAGGGCTGGTGGGGGAGGATGGAAGAGGCAGGACAGAGTGGAGGAGGGGGTCCAGGGAGGAGGCAGAGGAGATTGGAGAGGAGGAGGCCAAAAGAGGGGAGGCCCTGGCCGGTTTGGCTCAGTGGATAGAGCGTCGGCCTGCGGACTGAAGGGTCCCAGGTTCGATTCCGGTCAAGGGCACATACCCAGGTTGCGGGCTCGATCCCCAGTGGGGGACTCGTAGGAGGCATCCGATCAATGATTCTCTCTCATCCTTGATGTTTCTATCTCTCCCTTTCCCTTCCTCTCTGAAACCAATAAAAACATTTAAAAAAGGGGTGGGGGGAGAAGTGAAAAGGGAGGAGAGGTTCGGGGAGGGGGGCATGGAGGAGAGGGGATGGAAGAAGGGGCGCCGAAGACGGCCAGGACCAGGGGAGGAGACAGGGGAGGTTAGGGAAGGAAGAGAGGGTTTGGCGATGGAAGAGTGTCTGCATATGGGAAGTAGGTTAAAGGACTAGATAGAGGATGTCAACTTAGTAAGAGGATTGGAGGGGGGAGTCAGGAAGTGGGTGAGAAGGGGCTGAGGAAGAGGGAGAGGGTTAGGGCATGAGGTAAGGGGTCGAAGCAAGGGAGTGGGTATCGGGGAATGAGTAGATCTGGCGAGTTGAGGGGCGAGGGTAGGAAAAGGGCATCAGGGTCAGAGAAAGGGGCCAGAGGACGTGGCAGGGCCGAGGGAGAGGGACAGGGATGGAGACCGCCCGGGACCATTGGCAGGTGGGGACTTGGGCAGGGGGGGAGGGTAGCCAGGCCAGAGGTGGGTCTTTTGGGGGGTGGGGACAGCTGTGGGGGGATCTGGCGCCCTGAGGAGTTCAGCCCCCCCACCCCAGGGAGGGGGTCATGGGACTGGGAGGCTGTTGAATGAAGGCAGAGGGAGGGTCCCAGTGGCCCAGGGTTACCCCCGACACCTCCACCCCCCTCCACTTCCTCCCTGGCAGAGAAACTATTTCCTGCCCAGCGCTATTTCTGCCCATCCGTTTCCAGAAGGCGGGGGCTCCAGTCACCCCCTTCTCACCTCCCTGCAGTGCCCTCCCAGTCCCCAGGGAGCAGGGGCTGAAATAGCC